TAAACTACTGGTAGCACTTGCATTGTCTAGACCAGCTTACGTCAATGTCACTGGAGATTGTTGCGAGTCAAGTGCCTTTAACCCCTTTGGGACAGTGAGGAAAGTCTCTAGAGAATTTCGGAATGTGGCATGGGTAGCACTCGTGTTTGCCTGTAGTCCATATATTAGCACATCTCCCCAACAAGAAACTCCGTCGGATTTTATGGTTAGCAATCTGTGAGGGCAGAAGGTAGACGCCATTATAGATGGGATAGATGACAGTTTACCGTAACTGGAGGGTGGTGCTCTAGGTGAAAATCCGTTGGTTTATAATGATGAAAAGAAGGTTGATCTTCAATCGCCTCATTTCAGAAGCCTATTACTGTCGTCTTAGAGGCTGCGATGGGCTCAGCCGTACTTCATTTATAGTGCTTATTTCAACGTTGCAGTTGAAGTAAGGTAAGTAGTAGTTGAGGACAACAACCTGTATTTGAAGCTTTACTGGTAAAGACCCGTACACAACATTGAAGCAAAGCAGAATGCTACAGCATGACCAAAAGCTTGGTAGGTACTTCTGATAGGCAGATTAGGTTGGTAGTGTTCCAAATGCGGCTACCAAGTTCACCTGTCTTCAAAGTACAGTTCGTCTACCAATGCCAGAGACCATAATCATTTCATCAAACATGTGCAGTAGACGACCAGCAGTGGTAGGGCGGTTTTCGTCAGGTAAATTGAAACAACTATTCGATCGCTATCGTGTGCCATAAACCGTACATTTATCGGTCCATGTACCTGGCGCAATTGCTTTCACAACGTCAATATGGTTCGCGAGCTTGCAGTGCCCGTTTGTAAATATTGTGTCACAATAACGCTTGCAATCGTTGTATCAAACTGTTCGAATTACTTAGTCTTACTCGGTCTTCAGAATACCACATCGAAATTATTAAATCTTTCCGCCTAGAAAGATGTGAACAGAGATTCATGCTGTCCATTCGCAGACAACTTCGTCGATATCTGTACCAGAAAGAATATTCAAACGAGAGTATATTCATCATCCCAACAGTGCTAGACATTAAAGGAGAGTCTTCACGACACAGTCTGCTTAGGCTGATCTGTTCTCATCATAACAGTGTAAGTATTTGTGCTCCGACGTAAACATGTCATTTCGGCGTTTGCATGAAAATGTCCCATTTGATAGCTGACCCAGAGTACACTGCACGCGATGGTGTTTCGGTGTTGCTCCTCCCAACACGGATATCCCGTGACCGGTTTCGTCCTGGTTTGGACTCATCAGATGAAGATAGTCAGAGCTGGGGTGGAAGTCAGAGCCTAGTGGTTCAGGGCCGATGCTTTGATCATTATGCCACTAAGATCCGTGCGCAATGCTGTCACAGAAGTAAAGGATTAATGGTCGGATTTGGAGCGCACGTCGTGTGACTGGATTGCGACAGACAAACTCTAGTGAGAACTCGGTTAACTTTGAAGTAGACCTCAGTCATTCCGATCATCACAAGGACCGCATCCGAAATGGAGGTGTTACGAAGTTGCTGCGCCCAACACTGACAACCCGTGACCGCTTTCGTCTTGGTTGAGACTCATCAGATGGAGATAGCCCGAGCTGTGGTAGAATTCGAGGCCTTTACCGCTGTGCCAAGTGTTGCTCACGTATCTTAGTCACATCATGATCGAGACGTCAGTCGTGAAGGCATCCAAGTGTGAAGACATTCTTTTTCACTTCATAAAGCAGCTCGCCAGCAAGAACTTGTCACGGAATGTCCCAAACCTCAGATGGATGGTAACAGTCTTGGCTTATGTAAACCAATAAAGTATCTTGAAGTTACATTGAGCTAAGGTTTGTCGTGTTCAGGCCACTTGAATCAAATCTTCACCAAAGTCAGACAACCTTCACTTGACCTCGCTCGGTTGCGATCATCCTATGTACCGTGCAATTTGGTGCTGAAGTTCATCACTGCGTGCATTCTACTGCAATAGACTTATTGTTCGTCTGTGTTTTTCCAGACCCACTGTGTAAGCGTTTCGAACCGCTTGAAAAGCTATTGAAACACTTGTTTTGTTGTAGTGGCACACCTAAGCAAAACTTTGGCTTAAAATTTTTTTCCCGTGCACACTAATCCTTGTATAAAACTTTGCCAAAATACTCATTGACGGCCATGCTATTTACACTGCAGTCTAACGGCAAATCTAACTCGTCGACCGGATATAAGTACAGAACGATATATACCCGCATGTGGTCATGCGATTCGGTGGTCGTTCCAAATGTAGGAAGATTTCGGCTTGACCAAACTTTATTAGCGAATGGCTGTAAGGTGGATTCTGCTAATGAGGTTGTGTTTTTCATAGTGTTATTCCTCTGCAGCTAGTTTGCTGCGATTGCATGAATTAGCTTATAACAACGATAGTATGTATTTTACGGCTGGAAATTTCCCCGTTGGAACGGGGGGGGGTGCGATGGATGAAAACGAGCAGGATAGAGCATAAGAAAACGAGAAGTCCTGAGTGGTTGCATCAACAACTCTACCAATCCTGCGCGATGCAATAGATAAGGCGCAGCTGCTTATCCTGTGCGACAGCAAGAACATCAGGAGATTGTTTGAACATGAGGTAATTGAATGAGTGCTACATTGAGGACCCTCTCCTCTGTCCCATCTTTGCATGTTCAAAGTATTCCTGTGCTATTCATAATCTGTGAGTGGAAATCTGTTAAAAATGTTGGTCAACGTTTTATGTCTCTCACCGTTGAGGCACCTTGGTTGCTTCAACGTGAGCCAGATGGACTAGCGAGATGATGAGTATGCAGACCTCGTGCTCCAAACGTCGTAAAATGTAACGAGAAGGAATCCATTTATCTTTTTGATAAGTGGTTAAGAGTTGGCTATAGAATTGAAGACTGGTAGCTCAGGTTGCTCAGATGGCGAGTGAACTGTTCGCTGAGCTTGGCAATTCTGTTGCAAACCCTTCGCCACCCATCGAGGTGACATCATCAATGCGTAGTTGAGTGGCGTGCAGTCATCAGACATCGTCATACACGTTAGCTAGAGGTGGGGAACACCAGCTACTGTGCCACAAAGCGTTCACATGTGAGTTGAAACTAAAAGACGAGCGACAATTGAAGCAAGATGGAGGAGGACCGAGAATTGGGGGGTTGAAAACAGGGGGGATAAAAGTATAGCTGAAACGGGACGATAAGGGTGAAAAAGCGCAAGAGGTGAATAAGAAGACGGGAAGGTTTGAGCAGTGGCATTCAAACCCCTATCCACCCTGCTCGATGCAGCAGATAGGGAACCGTTGATTATCCTCTGCGGTGGCCAGAGCATCAGAAATTTGTTTGAAGTGAGAATCATTGTATTGCGTGGGCAGGGTACTGTCAGGTTGCCCAGGCCTCACAGTCTGTGTGTCAGACGAGGACTTG